TCAAATCTGATCACTGCCCCATTAAGTGTGAGGCTCAAGACAAATAAATACTATTAGGTGTCTTTTCCAGTATAATGTTTTTTCCCTTTTGGCAACTCCCAAACCTGTCTTGTAGAGAATTTTCTAGCTGTCCTGGGCAGATCTCTCAATCATCTAGGGGATTACGGCTGACATCCCTCAGAGGTCATTCTGGGGTCATAGAGGGAACTCCACATGTGTCCAAAATTTTATGAAAAATCACATATGCTAACACATTGTACTAACTGATTATTTAGATTATTTAGAAATGAGGATTTTTTTTCAAGTAGGCCATAATGCTATACCAGAGCTAGGAAAAATTACCTTTTTGGACTACCTCTCCCAGAATGTATCCACCAGCCAGGGGTTTCTGGGTGTGATAGTCCAATAAGGTGATTTTCTCCCAAAAACTAGTACAGCCACGTGGCTTTACAAATAGTCTCTCAGCAAAACCAATTTTAAAACATAATTAAATTCGGAATTGGAACCCAGGCTGTTAGTGCCTAAGCTTTCTTCAAATTCATAATTATCCAATGGGTTTGAGAGAAATGATGAGAAACAAAACAGGAACAAACAGAATTCTGTTCTCACATATTCGTACTTGGGAATGGCTAGGCTTTTTCTTTCTTTCTTTTTTTAAAAAGAATAATTCCTCGGCTGTGAACCTCTCCTGTTTCTGTAAAGCCCTTTTACTGGAACAATTACATGCCCTTTGAAAATAAAGAAAAAATGGATAAATTGACTGGTTTGGAAACCCATTACTGGCCAACACAGAATAGGTGGACCAATTCCATTTGTAATAACTTTCTGATTTATCATGAAATAGAACTCTATACAAAAAATAATGAATGGACAGCAATCAATTTTTAACTCTGTTATAGACGATTTCACTTTATGTCCTTTATGATAGTTATTTGTAGGCTTATTTCTGTTTTTGTACTATTTTTGTTGTTGTGTGCCCTCAACTAGTTTTCTACTTATGGCAATCCTAATTTGAACCTATCATGAGGTTTTCTTGGCAAAGTTTTTTTTTAGAGAAGGTTTGTCTTCACCTTCTTCTGAGGCTGAGAGAGTGTGACTTGACCAAGGTCACCCATTGGGTTTCCATACCCAAGCAGGGATTTGAATCCTGGCTTCCAGAGTCTTTTAGTCCAACATTCAAATTAGCATACTACACTGCCTCTTTTTACTGTTGTTAGATGTTATTTGTGTTGTTAGATATTCTTATGGTTGTTAAATGTTGTTTACTGTGTTGTCTGTGGTCTCACTGTGTTTTAGTTTTTTTTTATTGCAAACTAGTGTTGATGGGTTTTCAAAGTAGCAATAAGGGACCATAGAAATTTATGGCATGCAGGGCTGACAAGCAGAAGGAACGGTTAAACTGTGTTTTACCAAATGGACCACAATGAAAGTATGTATTTCAGTTATGTGTTTCTCTGTAAAATGAACATATTGTCTATATTCATAAATTACATGGCACATATATTTCTGGCATTATGAAGGGCTCAAACCCCCAAATACATCTTGTTTAATGTACATAAAAGAAAAAGCTTTCCATCTCTCAGAGAACATCCCTATTTGACAAGGGCATCTACTCTCTCCAATCTTCAAATGCCTGGCAGCCCTATTGGAACTTAATGTGTCTCACTATGTGTTAGAACTCTTGTTGAGTGTTGAGAAGCATGGGGTTGAGATGATGAAACAGATGGCTGCATCTGCACTGCAGAAATAATAAAGTTTGACACTGCTTTAACTGCCATGGCTCAATGCTAAGAAATCAGGGGATTTGTAGTTTGTTATTGCACCAAACCTCTCTGACAGAGAAGGCTAAATATCTCACAAAGCTACAAATCCCAGAATTCTATTGCCTTGAACCATGGCAGTTAAAATGGTGTCAAACTGCATTATTTCTGCAGTGCAGATTGGATCAGATATTGTTTACTGTAGGTTTTTACAAGAGCCTTTTTACAAGGTTCCTTACCAAAGATTTCTGGGCAAATATTAGCAGCCCTCAGAAGAGAAGAGAGTTATTTATTGATCAAAACTGGTAAAGTTTTTATATGACTCTGGATTTTGTTTTTACTCATTTGATCACACTGTTATTTTTGTTCTTTATTGGTTAAAGAAAAGAAAACAAAGAGTAGTAATAAATGGACAGTTCGTATAATGGTGTGACATAAATAATGCAGGGTTTGGGGTTTTTGAAGCAGTGCAATAACCAACACTGCCATCAGTCTTTATTCTGATCTGTCTGTACTGTTATCAGATTGAGGCTGCAACCCTATACCACTGAGTGAGCACATGTAGCTCAGGCGGACTTACCTGTGAGTAGATAAGCATATGATTGTGTTGTGAATAACACAATTCTCCAAACTGATGCCTTTCAGAAGGGTTGAACTACAAGTCCTAGCATGTTGAGCTACTAGGGTCCTGTGAGTTGGGTATGATGGATGCTGTAGTCTTAAACATGTGGAGGTTACTGGGCTAATGAAGTCAGATATAAAACCACAGGTGATGCCTGCCACAAAATGCTGCAGTATTGCTCTATCCATCCTCAGCAATTATTTGGAGTTACTTGGAACTTGGAAGCCAACTTGGAACAGGAGCTTTGTATGATCCCCTGGAGAAAGGTCTGAATAAATATATTATACATTAATTGACTTAACTAGAGCTGTTTTGAAGGACAATTAAAATGGAAGTTTGCAGCACTGTTGCTCGTTAACAAATCTGACTGCGCAAGGCAGGGGGTAAATATTATGAAGAGACTTCACACCACAAGGGAGTAAATTATCTGTTTTTCATTTAGACGGAAATCCTAAATGCACTTACATGTTGACTTAAGCTGAACTGGAGTGCTTTTTCAAATTGGGTACTGCAGTAGGTTGGTTGTCTTCTTCAACAGAAACAACAGGGCTGAGCAGCAGATGAGCAGCGCAAGGATGGGTATGTAAACACCAATACCAACACCATCCCCACACCAACCCGAGGCTGAGCTTATGCTATTCTGGCCTGGGGGCTCACCTGAGTTGGTCTCCAGGTTGGTGTGGGGATGGTGTTGGTGTTTACATGCTAATAATAATAATAATAATAATAATAATAATAATAATAATAATAATAATAATATCCCGCCCCTCTGCAGAGCAATCGGGGCGGCTTACAACATTAAAATTTACATAAAGATATGTTAATACATTGTAAACAGAACGTAAAAATCCCGAAACCCACCCGCCTCATCCTTACGCTGCCCTGAGACCTGCTACTAGCATGTGCTTTGCCTTGCTGCACCATTGCTCCTACTGAAAAGCCCTCCATCATTGCATCTGATGCAGAAATGGGATGCCTGGCTGCTCCTATGCGGCCAGGTGCCCCATTTCCATGTCAGACATGGCGATGGGGGAGCTTCTCAGTAGGAGTGACCATGTGGTTTAAACAGCCTGAGTTTGCCATAGGGTTTCCATAGGTTATTACCTTTAAAGCCCTACATGGCTTGGGACCAGAATACTTAAGGGATCACCTTCTTCCGTATTGTCCGTCCCACACAGTAAGGTCCTCGGAGATGAACCTACTGCAGCCAAAAAAATCTAGGATAACTTCGGTTAGCCAGAGGGCCTTCTCCACCACTGCTCCAAAGTTGTGGAATGACCTACCGGAGGAGATCTGTCACATCTCTACTCTTACAGCCTTTAAAAAGGCTCTTAAGATGGATCTCTTCCATCAGGCCTTCCCAACTTAACTCCTCTCCCCGCACAAGGTGATCTACGTTGCTCTATCCACCAATTATCTTCCCCTCATTTTAAAAAATCTTTTTGTAGGGGGGGGGTTTGGGAAGGGACTAATTTTGAAATGTATTGTATTCTATGCACATTTATTGTTGTAACCCACCCGGATTTCTTGTGATTGGGTGGGGTATAAATAAATAAATAAATAAATTTTAAGGTGGTGTTTTCAGGTGTTTTAGTGACTATTTAAAATTAATTAAGATGTCAGTTCTGAATATTATAAGGTCGTAAGGCTGGCAGTTCAAGGCCCAAGTACCATGTGATTGGGTGAGATCCTGTCACTAGTCCCACTTCAAAAGCATGTAAAAGTACAACTAGATGAATAGGTACCACTTTGGTGGGAAGATAACAGCGTTCAGTGAAATCATGCTGGCTACAAAACCACCGGAGTCATCTTCGGACAACACTGGCTCTTTGGCTTAGTAATGGAGATGAGCACTGCCCCCTACAATTGGTTACGACTAGACATTCATGTCAAGGGAAAACCTTTACTTTTACATGTTTAAGCCATCTTCTGTCCCAATTTTGGGAGAAAGGCAGGATGCAAAATAAAATAAACAGATAGACAACTGCATAGATAGACAGACTAACCAAGGGACAGATAAATAACTAAAATAATTTTATAGAAACAATGTAAAAAAAGAAATAGATTTCACAGAAATGCCACAAGGTTCTAGTCCACTTTTTCAAAGGCAAAAGGCATGACAAAGGTTTTTCTAAGCATCCTGTAGTTGTAGAGCAAAGAATGTGGATTTAATAATTTGTTGTTGCAGTTGACTGCCCTCAAGTTAGCCCCAACTCATGGCAACCATGTGGATGAGACATCTCAAAAAACTCCTGTCCTCCACTTGCCCAAGGTCACCCAGCGGGTTTCATAGCCAAGCTGGGAATCGAACCATGGTCTTCAGAATCATAGTCCAACACTCAAACTACTATGCCATACTGGCCATCATTGCCAGTAGCCAAAAATTAGTAGGGAAAAAAAGAGAGATTACTGTATATACTCATGTATAAGTTGAGAATTGTAGGTCAAAAATTGGCCCCCAAAACCTGGATCGACTTATACACAGGTTATTACAGTAAGTGACCTGAGCCTCTCCCCCCAGGATAGCCCAGCTGGGGAGAGGCTAGGAAGGGTAGCTGGTTACCCTGTAGCCTCTTCCTAACTGGGCTCTCTCCCTGGAAAGAAGCCCAGCTGGAAAGACGCTGGGCACGGCGATCGTTCACCCTGAAGTCTCTTCCTAGCTGGGCTTTCTTCCAGGGAGGAAGTTGGGAAGATGTTGGGCAGGGTGCCCAATCACCCTGAAGCCTCTTCCCAGCCCGGCTCCTCCCCAGGGGAAAGCCCAGCTGCAGAGAGGCTGGAAAGGGCTATCAATCCCCCTGCCAGCTCTCCACAGCCGGGCTGCCTCTGGAAGCCTGACCCTCGACTTATCCACAGGTCATACCAAAATCCATACTTTTGGCCCCAAAAGTTGACCTTGACTTATACACGAAGTCAACTTATAGTTGAGGATATACAGTAAGCCTTTTTCTAACTAGGGTTCATTAGGGAGAGTGAGGGAACAGCCTCAGGCAGAAGGTTTATGGTGGTGAGGAATAAAACACATTGTTAGTTATTGCTTTATAATTGCTGTATCTTTATAGTCAGAAAGGGAAAGAGGCACTTCTGGGATTTGCCAAAACAATGTGGTTGACCTTGGGTACTGGAAGGTGAGTAATTCCATCTACTGTCCTGTCTCAGATAGGGCCAGCCCAATAATTCTTGCTGATCAGATGCAGATGCAGATCAGAAGGAAATGCTGTCTAACTCGCCTGAGTCATGTATAGTGTAGTCAAAGCCAGACAAGTTATTTTGGCACCACGGGCAAAAAGAAATCACAGCTTCCTAGAATCATAGAATCATAGAATCATAGAGTTGGAAGAGACCACAAGGGCCATCCAGTCCAACCCCCCCTGCCATGCAGGAACTCCCAATCAAAGCATCCCCGACAGATGGCCATCCAGCCTCTGCTTAAAGACCTCCAAGGAAGGAGACTCCACTACTCTCCGAGGGAGTGTGTTCCACTATCGAACAGCCCTTACTGTCCTCCCCAACTATAAAATAACATAGTAGATAAGAAACAAGATACTGCCCTTTCATGAAACCCCAAATCTTCCCAAGTGAAATAGGCATGTGTGAAGGTTCTCTATGGTCCCACTCCACTCCCCTGAGCTGGATGGGACCCTCCCCCTGAGACCCCTTAAGAAGAAAACAAACAACGCACTGCCACCACCCAATGATTTGTCATACCCCAGGA